AAACACCCCCACCCCACCACCACCCCACCCCCAAACACACACATAACACAACACTCTTTGTTTGTCTCATTGTTTTGCTTATATTTCACTAACAAAGATAGACAAAAGCTTTTTGCATTGCTTCATTTTTGAAATTTAGAACTTTCTTTTGTTTATTCCTTTTGTCTTCTCCTACAAACTAATATTCTCAAAGGTTATATGAGTCTCTTTTCTTCACTATTTCTTTCTTTTTTCTTTTGTGGGAATGAGATTAGTTACTTCTTAGATACTCCTATATTTTTATGCCTTAGGTACATAGGTTGTAACTTGTAAATGAAAAAGAATGTTCCTTTACTTTAAAAAATTGTTAACCTAGGAATGTTTGTTATATTCACTTATTTTCTTCTCTTTTGCTGTTTTTTTTGAAAATTTGCAAGGTTTTTCCTCTCCATCTATGTAATCTTGATCAATTTCATGCATGTTCAACTTGGGAATATTACAAATTTCCTTTTTTTTCTTACCTTTTCTTGATTTCCAATATTTTTTATTTTTTTTGTGTTTGTAAATTAGAAGTTTGTCTTGCTCTCTAAACTTTATTCTTGACTTCCAAGTGAGGACAATAAAAAGGCAACAATTCTTAAAAGTATGAAGATTTGGAGGTTTTTCTTCTTCTATATTTGCTTTCTTTTTAGTAGCATTACTTAATTTTTATCAAGAAAATTTTATTACTTAATTTTTATCAAGAAAAATTTAGCAGTATATTAGTTGTATGTACTATCAACACTACATGTTCTATGTTTTCTTCATCCCCACTTGCCCTCTCTGAATTGTAATGATTTCCCCTACTTTCCCTACCATACAAAGGTTAGGCAATTCCATTAATTACACTGCAAAAACCCCTCTGCATCTCATCATTTCCTTTAATTTCCTCTCTTTTTCATCATTTCATTCATTTATTTATTTTTTATTTCATAATGTCATAGCTGCATTGTTTAGATTATGATAAATATCAAATAATATTATATTTTTTGTTTTTTTTTTTTCAGGAAATGGACAGACTCAACTCAAAGCTATACTTGCAAAATGTGTACATAATGGCTGAAAATGAGAGGCTAAGGAAAAAAGCTGAACTTCTGAATCAAGAAAATCAACAACTTTTGAATGAACTTAAGCATAGGCTTTCAAAAGCAAATGGTGCTGGTTCTAGTGGAGGAAAAAATAACAACAATATTCCTGATCTTAATCTCACCAATTGTTCTTCCTCCAAATCTGCTTCAAAATCCAGCAAAAAATAAAAATAAAAAAAATAAAAAAAAATTATCATGGGGTCCAACCTAGTCATTGAACTACTAGTATTTAGGTTTTTTTTGGGGGGTGTTAAATATTAAATATTAGTAGTATTATAGTAGTAGTCAAATAGTTGGAATTTATGAATGTTGGTCTTTTGCAGTTTTAGTTAATATGTAGTAGTAGAATAGGTAGGAGGAGGAAGGAATATATGTTTTTCTGTTTACATCTTTTGTTATTTTTTTTTAGTTGGG